GGGCGGACCTAATATGGACATAGCGCTGCAACAGGCGTGGGACGCAGGAGCGCACGTTGTCATGGTACAAGAACCATGGACATTGCAAGAAGATGGGGAGTATAAAACGAAAAATCATCCTGGCTTTTACAGCCACAAGCTCATCGGAGATACAGGAGGTCGCCCAAGAGCAATCACCTTTACCCGGAAAGGTCTCGAAGCCTCACAAATACATACGGCTCCCACAAGACAAACTTTGGATTACTGCTTCGTTCAAGTATCTGGCCTGACTTTTGTTAACGTATACCATGCACCCGGGCCAAGCGGTACCTTAGAACCCTTACTCCAATGGACGCCCCAAGGCCCCACGGTAGTCGGGGGAGACTTCAATGCGGTCTCGAAACACTGGCAACCCCAGGCACCAAGGCAATATGGCAGCGGCGACCAGATCATGGACTGGGCACTAGCGCGGGACATGCAGTTAATAACCTCAGCCGGCGTACCCACGCATCGAGATGGAAACGTGCTAGACTTAGTGTGGAGTAACACCTTCGCTGAAGCGTCGGTATCAAATAAATACAACTGTACATCGGATCATATGACTATCGTAGGATCTGTTCAGGTGACAAAAATGGCAGACCTCAACGCTGTCTCACAGGATCTGCGAGTCCGTGACCAAGACCTTGGTAAATTCGCCCAGTATGTCAAAGCCTGGGCCAAGCCTGGCCCCATACGCAACGAGTTGGAAATTGAAAGCCAAGTAGCGAACCTGCTGGAGGCTCTGGGGGATGCCCGCAAGGCAGTGGGACGGAAACCAGTGAGAATAGCCGGGAAATCAGCGCCATGGTGGAATGAGGAGCGCAAGAAAAAGCACCTCGAGTTCATGGAATCCAGTGACAACTCAGAAAAAGCAGCCCTGGCCCGGAAAAGGTTTAGAGCTACAGTCAAAGTTGCAAAAAGGGAACACTGGAGAAAACAGATCGAGAATGCCATCACGGACACCCAGGTATTCAAGATAATGCAATGGGCTAAACCCAAGCCATGTCGAGAACCTCCTCCTCTGTAGGTCGCGGAGGACAAATGGTTATCAGACCCACTCGAGAGGGCAGAAACCCTGAGGGACATCTTGATGAATAGATTCAACGCAGCCCACGATCTCTCCACATGGGAGACGGGACAACCAGAGACTATTCCGTAGAACCCAATATTGTCGACAGAGGATGTAAAATCGAGCACCATTGGAATAGGCGACAAGTCTCCAGGAGCGGACAGAATCACGGTTCGGCTGCTCAAGGCGTGCTGGGAGCAAATTGGCGAACAAGTGAAGAACCTCTTTCAAGCTTGTTTACAGCTTGGACATTTCCCCACTATGTTTTGAGTTGCAGAGGTCATCCTCCTCCCCAAGCCAGGATGGGACCTTGCAACAGCTAAAGGTTGGCGACCAATCTCTCTTCTATCCTGTCTTGGGAAAGGTTTGGAACGACTTGTAGCCAAGAGAATGGCCTGGCTAGCAATCGAGCACCGAGTCGTTCCTCAACAGCTGTTTGGTGCACTGCCTGGTCGCTCAGCAGTTGACTTGGTCTCCTGCGTCATACACGATGCAGAGGCGGCAATGCGATACAAGAAGGTAACGGCCATGGTTACTCTGGACGTACAAGGAGCGTTCGACGCGGTCCTGCACAAACGGCTGATCCATCGATTGCGGAATCAGGGATGGCCAAGGATACTTTGCCTGTGGATAGAATCATTTCTAACCCAACGAAGGATAAGGGTGCGACACCGTGATGGAACCACGCGGGACAAAGTTGCAGAGTGCGGAGTCCTACAAGGGTCGCCGCTATCACCCCTTCTGTTTTTATTATACATCGAAATCTTGATGCGAGACGGAAACAAGAGCACAAAATTCGGGTACGCTGATGACATCGCTATACTCAGCATAGGGAGCACCGCGTCTGAAGCAGTGGCCGAAGCCCAGAAAGAAGTCGACAAACTCGTCCAATTAGCGAGCGAAAACCAGATAGACTTTGACCCGGCAAAGTCTGAACTACTGTTAATTGGAGGTGGGCCAAGGAAAAAGCTGAACACCACAGGTCTAGCTGTCCAGATCCAAGGCCACTGCATAGTCCCGTCCCCGTACGTGAGATGGCTGGGAGTATGGCTAGATTCTCAACTCAACTTCAAGCAACACGTTCAGGAATGGTGCGGGAAGGCGCAACGTATAACACAGTCTATACGACGGATAAATTCGGTCCAGCATGGCGCAGCTCCGGGACCGATGATTAAAGCAGTGCAGTCCTGTGTCCTAAGTACGGCACTATATGGAGCCGAAGCGTGGTGGACAGTTCCGAGATGTATGTAGAAAATATACAGTAATCGGCCACCATTCCTTTACTTTATTGTTTTGTTGGTCGCCCATCATAGCTTCAAGCTTATAAATCATTTTCTGTGCGCAGTTTTACACGACGTCGCATAGCTCTGTAATCTACACTTTTCGTAGTCCCATGGTAACTAGAGCTTCTGCTTTAGCGTCCATTGCCCTTCATAGGGATAAAATTACGCGTGGCCTCCGGGCACGTGCAGTGAAAAGATAAAAATTTTTTATAATAGTCCCTTCTGAGTTTTAGATTATGAAGGACTTCTAGAATCTACCAAGTAAATTCTGGCTACTATTTTAATGTTAAAATGAGGTTAATTAATGTATTCCAATAGATGTTGAGGGTCATGCCCTGATACACGCGCAGTGATAGACTTTAAATAATGCAATCATCAATGCAAACCTACTTAGAGAGGGCCTGAAGGATACAATAAGCCGCCTCGGTCTCCGCATAGGTCAGAAGGACTGGTTATCGGAATGATTCATCTAGCTGGAGTTATTTGGAGTCGGTGATTGTTGCATCGCATTGGCTAGTTCTCTTGATTTATGGATTCTGACATTCGGATAATGCTTTATCCGAATGAAGGCTAGATAGCAATTCCATAGCATCAACGCAGACGAACTCGAATAAACCATGAATGCGCATTTCTTCTGAATGGTTTTCCGAAATACTTACACAAGTACTCTTATAACTTTAAGTGAACTAATAGACTTTTAGTGTATGACCTTAGTCATACCAACACCGGTCATTCAATTTCCAAGAACAGTACCTCACGCGACTTCAGATCAGGGCCAAAAATGTGCCAACGGCAGAAGGATCTGGCAAATTATACTTCCTTAAAGCCGATTCTATCAGAAAAATTATCGGCGGGGACTTTCAGGACGAAGCAGCTTACGCTAAGCAATGGATAGCAAGCCCGTCGGCCGAGATAGTTTGCGCTTATCTAATCGGCTCATCATGTGGACCAGCTAGGTCTACATGGGGTATATCGTATGCAAAGGAGACCAGGTGATTGGGAGTGACTCTGGTCTATTGCTAGGGGTAGAGGTTTGTGATGCCGAAGACTCTGGGGCCCAAAAAGCTCTGGAAGGAGCCATGGGAAAAGCAGGCGACTACCCCATAAAGGGGCTGCTCGACAACTCCACAGCCGTGAGAGCTCTAAGAACAGGCCAAACGAAATCTTCCCAAGCTGCAGTGTAAATATTCACAAGACTGGCACGACAAGCTAGATCAGTTGAGATCCGATGGATACCAGCCCACGCTGGGATCATGGGGAATGAAGATGCAGACAGACTGGCTAAGGAAGCCCTCAGGAACTTACCGGATGAAATGAACACATCTCTCACACAAATGAGGGACAGACATAAATACACGTTCGCAGCCCTCACTCGGGCTGTCAGGCAAGTATGTGAAGAAGCAGTGGAATCCTGGTGGCTAGATCACAGACTGAGCCGCTACGAAGAATTGGATATCCAGATGAAACGAAAACGTCCACTGGAGCTAGCACTTCCGAGGTGGGCGCATCACCACCTTAACGCAGCAAGGACGGGACATGGCGATTTCAGAAAATACCATGAAAGATTTCGCCACGAATTTGAAAAATGCAAATGCGTGTGCGGAAGAGAGAAACATCCTAGGCATTTTGCTGAATGCCGGATTGCTCTACAACAATGGAGAAACTCGAAGCACGAACCACCACCGATAGGACGGGAGATGCTGGCAGAAAAGGGTTGGGAAAGATTTCTCCAGTTCTTAACAGTCACTAAGTGTTACGAGAGGCAGAGACAACACCGGGAGGATTAAGTCCAACCAAAATAGATTTTTTTCACGGCAGAGGGTTGTGAGGAAGGAGGGAAGGCGCAGGGCGTTTATTTTTCTTGTAATTAATTAATCAAATATGTTTTGCGTATAGATTTGACAAGCAAACTATGGATTTAGGTCATAGTGTGTCCCGAGGAAGCATAGACCCTTATACACCTATTGAGTGTAGGGCGTAAGTCTGATACGACATGAATTCAAATCAAATGCAAAGCTGCTTCATAATATTAAAATTTCACCACTTTTAACCTTTGTACCAATAAATGGCAATCTCTGCCTTTAGATGCTGGTGTTTCACACGTTTATCTCGAAGACCTAACCTGGTAGTTTTGTGCACTAGGGTTTAAGTCATGAAAGTATTCGTATTGTCGCGGGTGTATATTTGAAGACTTGCAGAAGCCAGAAAATAAGTTAACAGGAAATGTTGCCGGAGCTATCGTGATACAAAAATTACACACTTGTAGGCTTGATGAAGCCAACCTCGAAATCAATATTGTTGGGAGACTTACATTGTTGTCTTGCTGCGTAAATTTTTTGTAGAAGCGAGATATGTTGGAATTTAGCTTTGCGATAGTTTTATATCCTCGGTCTAAGGGAGTACATTGCTCGCAGTCGTTTAGTCGTTCAGTTTTCGATTTATTATGTCCAGGGCCTTGCAAATGTAGCTATAATTACGAACCGATCTACTTCGAATATCCCTGTTACATTCATGAAGCAAATTTCCTCGCGTAGGGTTCCTATTGTGAATTGATCAGCTGGAATCTTGCACCTTTGACATAGCAATTTGCATCTGATAAGATGTTCTGACTGCTATCGATATATTCTCAAATGCCGCCTTTCTTACCTGGAAAACCTAATCCGTTGGCAGCTGTCAGCACTTCCTCAGATCATCCGAAAACAGTTAAGAAAAACAGCAAAGTCAACTCGCAAAAACCAACCCTTTTTGATGACCTCGACGCGGGGATTCGTAAGAAAAATACACCCGATTCAAAAAATGCTCAGAAAGCACTAGTAGAGCGTCTCGCTGCCAGTGATGACGATGAAAGCTCTCTCACATCTCTTTCTGACGATTCCGATAAAGTCTCTATTTGTTTAGCAGAGCAAAGTCAGGTTGGTTCAGACGCTGATGATGAAGATGAAGATATCGAGTTCGAGGAAGTAGAAACATCGGCTGCAACTAAGCCTTCCTATCTCATTCCTACCGGTGATCTTGAATTAACCCTAACCAAAGACACTCGGATCTCCATAACAAACCCTATGGGCAACAAAAAAGCGCCAAGCAAGATTGAGAGAATGATTCGTATATCAACCCATAAATGCCATGTTCAAACTTTGATGTGGAATAATGCTATTCGCAATAGCTGGTTATGTGACAACGAAGTTCAAAACATACTATTGGGACAACTTCCCCCAGCAGTACTAAATCAGATTAAGATTTGGAGGGAAAATTCTGAAACAACAAGCCAGGCCCACTCCTCTAGCTTGAAAAAGAACGAAATGAAGCCCTCGCGCAAGAGAACATCTAAAAGCAGAGCAAAAGAAACGCTAGTACAGTCTCCGGAAAATTTTGCCAAGGATAACACCAATCTTAGTCCTGAAGATCCATTGCCTCGACTTCTCAAGGTTTTGGTTAAGTATTGGCAGCACTACTTCAGGATATCATCTCCAGGGCTCAGAAAGGTTGGTTATAAGTCTCTGCAGCGCTTAGACGAAGAATTAAAAAGCTTTGCTGACACTATTGATCACGAACTACACGGAGAACGATTTCAGGATATCAATGAATACAAAGAACGGGCCAAAAAGCTGGAGGGCAGCCGTGATTTTGGTGCACAACTGTTTACTGCCTTACTTAGAGCTATTGGCTTAGAAGTGAGGATGGTTTCAAGCTTACAACCACTCGGATTTGGGTGGAGCCACAACGAAGAAGCTTCTGAGAATAATCCGTGTGCTATAAAAGAAAAAAGAAGAGAACCATCAGAGAAATTAGGTCCCGATTTAAGTTCGAGTAGTTCCTCAAACAGCCAGGTCGTGAATGAGACTAAAAATAAGCGTGGAGAAAAAAAACCTGACCCCCATGCAATAAAAAAAAATGCAAAATTACTGAAACGGAGCTCAAAGCGAAAGTCCGATAAAAAGAATCCAAAAGATGATTCAGATCTAGATCTATCCGATTCATCTTTCATTGTTGAATCAGATGATGTCGCACCAGAAAATAAGATGATTCAACACTCGCTACCCTATGACAAAGATCTTAAGTACCCTAACTACTGGAGCGAAGTCTTATCTCCTGTAACAAAAACATATATTGCAGTTGATGCTATTGTTAATCAAGTAGTTGCAACAAATCGAGAACTCCTAGAGAAATTCGAACCTCGAGGGGCCGGTTCAGAAAAGGCTAAGCAAGTAATTGCTTATGTTATAGGTCACTCGTCTGATGGTAGCGCAAAAGATTTGACAACACGGTATCTCAAAGGGAAAATGTGGCCTGGAAGAACTAAAGGCTACCGCTATCCAGTGGAAAAAATAGCGGTCCGTGATGATCGTGGCAAACTCGAACGGTACGATCACAAAGATTGGTTCAGATCTGTTATGTTGCTCTATGAGCGAGGCGGCAAGAATTATCCTCGTACAGAGATCGATGACCATGAAGATGCAAATGATCTGAGTCCAGCGAAGCGGGAAAAGAAGGAAGTTGAGGAAGGTAAAGAGACATTACAATATTACAAAACATCATCTAAGTTTGTGCTTGAGAGACACTTAAAAAGAGAGGAAGCATTAGCAAGGGGTGCAAAACATGTCAAGATTTTTACTGCCGGAAAAAATGAAAAAATGGTAAAAGAAAAAGTATTTTTGAGGAAAGATGTAGTCATATGCAAGAGTACTGAAACATGGCATAAAGAGGGACGTGTTCCTAGGGCTGATGAGAAACCAATGAAGAGCGTACCATATCGGGCTGCGACGACAAACCGTAAGCGAGAGCTAGCTCAAGCAGAACAAGCAAGTGGAGAGAAAGTACTTCAGGGTCTCTACTGTCACTCTCAAACCGATTGGATAATTCCTCCTCCTGTCGAGAATGGAGTAGTTCCAAAAAATTCTTATGGAAATATTGATCTTTTTGTCGAGAGCATGCTCCCCAAAGGCTCTGTTCATATTCCTTTACGAGGAATTCCAAGAATTTGTAAGCGTCTTGAGATTGATTACGCTGAAGCCGTAACTGGTTTTGAATTCGGCCACAGGATGGCTGTACCTGTTATCACTGGTGTAGTAGTTCCCAAAAATTTCCACGATAAGATCATGGAGGAGTGGCACAAATTTGAAGCGGAAAAGGTTCGAAAAGATGACGAAAAACGTAGACAAGCTACGCTTCATACATGGAGAAAAATGCTCATTGGCTTAAGGGTAATTCAGAGATTCAAGAAAGAATATGGTGGCTTTGATAATGATTCCGATATTCTAAATCCATTTACTAATCAAAAAAATAGTATTAATATGAATAATGATACAGGAGCCAATGTAGAACAGATATGTCAGCAGGAAGAAAGTTCTGCTGGCGGGTTTCTAATTGAAGAGACTTGTTCAGAGCAAACGAAGACGCACAGTCGTGTTGGACACTTTCCAGTAATTTGTGAAGATGAAGTCCAAGCCAACAACAAGAGCGAGCATTTCTTTTTAGATGATCACACCGAAAACTTATCTTCCTTGAATTCAAAAACTTCCCTCAAACACTCTCTAGGCAAAAATTTACCAAATCATTCAGATATGTTCAATATTCAAAATCAGGAAGATAACAAGACAGAATCTGCTCACACTATAGATTATTCATTAATACCTCAGAAAAGCAAAAAGAATTCCGGAAAAAAAAGACGAATCTCGGATCTGAAGGATAGCTCAGCAGACGAAGATTCCTTAGTGGCGAGTACCTCTAAAGGAGATAATTATTGCCCTTCCTCTAAAAAGCCAAAAATTATGAAAGAGAAGGGTAAAAATCTTCCAGCCCAGAGGAAGATGCCCGCAAGAAAAGCCGCCCAAAAAACAAAGACAGCTCTCAAGTCGCATTATTTCGAGGAAAGCGCAAACAATAATGATTGAACATGGGCAATTTAGTCTAATATCTGTTACCTTCCAGCTACTTTTTACTTCATCAGATATGACAGCCTCCTATGAATTATACCTCCATGTATCATCAAGCTATTGGATACCCTTGGATAATAATCGAGAATAGACGGTTTGATAAGGCTATATATAAGGTTGTGAATCAATGGTTCATACAAAGGTAACTTAGTACCATATTATTTCAAAATACCAATCACAAAATTTTTGCGCCGATAAAATCATAAACGCTCTGACACATAGGTCCCATGGGAAAGGAGAATCTGAATGAATTTTCGCAAAAATACCTAGGCTTATTACAAAGTAAGACTAACTTTTGAGTCTGCTTAGACATTCTTACAGTCAGTCGCAAATCCCTATCTCCATTGGGACAAATGGTGACGGATTGACACGGCCCGACATAGTAAAATCACAGCTCATCATCTACCAAGAACAACACTATTTAAATCCATCTACTGTAAAACTCCATCTTGAACTTTCAGGTTATACATATTACTTACGATACCCGGACTCCGAAATAGCTTGAAACCGTAGAGTCGAGGGGGTCTTTTTAATTAAAGAAGTAAAAATAGCAATGTTCTGTAAACGATCACGATTAAAAGTATCCTTACCCAGGTTACAGATAAGGGAACGAGAACTAATTACAGTATTTTTTTTATTGTGACAGCTCACCACGACTACCCTACTCTTCATAGGTCATATCAAGCGTTGATTAAAGTCCCTGGTGAGCCTAAGAGTTTGAAACACCACTTAAATCTATCCACAAGACTTTTACATCTTTGGAGGCTTCAACACGATAGACAAAAGTCTTACACCCAATGCAAATTACAAAATGTCAAGGGCCTGAAATAAAACAATGTCAGTTTAAAACTTTGAAATTGAGTTGCATTTATTGATCTCACTACCCAGGTAAGCAGAAACGAACACTCGGGCGTGAATATACGACCAAGAGAAACGAGGAAAACTCACATCTATCCTAGCATGCTAAATCAAATGTATTCGTTTAATGATGGGAGAGAATAATTTGCTTGATTTAAACCAGCGGCCATTTCCTCTGAAGAGAAGCAGGTGTTCGAACTAATAAGACTTCACCTAATGACCAGCCCAGATGACTCATCACTAAATCATCCGACCTTTGTATAATATCATTTTACAAATACCATTGGAAGTTGAGTCTTATCTCCGCTAGCTAGAGCTGGCTATAAGAAGTTTCTGGCTTACTGATCATCTATGGACGGATGAATTTGAATTTGAAATCTTTCACGTAACAGGACGGACGCAACATCTTTTCAGACGTGACAAGGATAGATAAGACCTAAAAGCTCAAAGCTACCTATATAGCTGGCAATACAGCTAGAAGCTACAAAAGAAAAACAAAGTACAAATTATTATCTGAGTTATGATGCCCTGCGCCGTATTCCTATCTTCCAAACACATCTCCTCTCGAGTGTAAAACTGTCTCAGCATGATCACCTGCCACCCTGTTCATTCTTCGTTAGACCGTAACATCTACCCGTAGTTAGGAATAGGGAAAACTTTTGCTATCCCATCTCCCCTATCATTTCCCTGGCCCCAGGTGGGGCTAATTTCTCGTAGTTTCTCCAACGCTACATAGGGAGCCGGCATTCAGAAAATTATCGGGACCTTCTGTCTCGGCCGCAAATGCAGTTCAGATCTTCGTGTTCAGGGTTGAAACGCCGTTTGTAGTCGGCGTAGTCCCCATGACCTGTTCTCGCCACAATAAGACTGTAGTACGCCCATCTTGGCAGAACCAGTTCCGTTGACCTTTTACACAGCGTTAGGAGGTCCAGATCTTTCAAGCAAAGTTTTACTTGTTTGAATCTCTCTCAAAATTGATTGAATTGATTGTCCTTTATGAGGATCCTATCTTAGTTCATAAATACATGTTAAGTTTAATACGTAACCACTCCCAAGATCCAGATATAGACCAATAATTACAATTATTTATGCAAACAGCTCGTATTTCCCTCCTTTACATGGTTCTGAAATTGGTCGTGTTTGTTCCCTTAATAAAAAACTGGAGGTGGAAAGTATAACAAGGCATATTTGAATTAATGCGGTTTCATAAGAGATTAAGAGGCTTGATTGTAATGAAAAAACACAAACTGCGAATAACAGCGGAGTGAGAGGGTATGCTTATTGTCCTAGTGAGTCTATGAGTGTGGAAGGGCATGTAGGTCATTTCTGCCTACAGGCCGGGGGTATCTATGCCTCGGGTAGTGTACTCCCTCCTATGCCTCCTTCACGACTTCTTTCCAGCAGTAATACCCCCACAGGTCTTCATTCGAGTACACTCTAAGAGGAGCCGTTATCCCATCATTATCTTTCCTCTCTAGCCAACAAAACGATGGACATTTAAGGGTATTTAGCTGCAGGGAAAAGTCTCAAAAACCACTGGGTGCGGGACTCTCCTATGACGAAGAAGGCGACCAGCTGGGCGCAGCAGACCTGTGTATACCTAGAAGCGTCTCTCAACCTTCCTAGCCGCCTCTTTACTCCTCTCCTGGTACATGCTGCAGGACAAACCTAAAGTCGTGAAAGGATGACAAAGAAGTCTTTGTCGAAAGTGACTGTCGCGAAGGAGCGTAGCCTAGCTTCCAAAAGTCATTAAAGACGTGGGGGTTTCGAGTAACTTATGTACTTCAGATGCCCTCCTGGCTAGTAGATTTGTAATTATAGGTTGGAAGAGACGAATTGAAATCTACTTTTCTTCAAGATGGAAGGGTCTTGTACTTTGCTATCGTGAGCTTTTTGTTAGACCGTCGGAGGCTAGAACATGTTGTAATGTAACGAGGGCTTCTCTGACTGCCGTTGTAGCGTTTGGTACCGCATTATCTTTCTCATTCCTGACATCATTATCGTTGTCTTGGTCGCCTTATGTATTATCGGAAGCGTACCTTGATGGAGGAGATAACTTAGCTCAAATTTGAAAGGGTGTTTCTCAATATCGGCTCTGTAGACTTTACAGTAAGAGCCGGAGGTTCATAGGGGACACCGCTGACAGGTGTTAGTTTCGTCTCCCTACATGAGGAGGAAACCTTCCGATTAAAACCCCCCACTCCTTCAAATTATTACTGTGATTCCTCGTTAAGCTACAGGAAGCGCAATATGCTACTGGTTCGAGATGAGACTAGCTAAAATTTTAAGTGACCTCGCCATCATTTCCCTGCCCCCGCGTGCCGAAAAGAGATGACCGTGGTCCGACGCCGGACCCCGATGTTGTTGTTAGTGGAGGTGGTGGGCCTGTGGCCACGGGATTTTTTCGCCGGCGCCCCGGCCCTCTCTTGCTGACCTTTGCCTTCTGGTTGGACACCAGTGTAAACCCTTGGTTATCTACTTGTTTTGCCGCTGCTGTTAATGTAGTGGCCGCTAGTGTTACCAGCTCTCTCCTCAGATCCGCCGTTTTCTCCAAAAGTCCGTACCGTGCCCTCTAAACACATGCATTGCAGGAAGCGAAGTTTGGACACCCCCCCTCTGCCACAATTTATGGATTTTACCGCAGTTGCAGCAACGCATCGACTTCCTCGGGCAGTGTTAGAAATATCGCGCAATGTAATTGGCGCAATATTCATGGAACGAAAGTAGAAGTTGACTAAAAGAGTGCCATGTTCGGATTACAGCTAAAACTGTGGGAAATGTGCGCTAAAGTACAAGTGTAAGCGACACATAGCCTAAGCCACAGCATAAACGAGTGTGGCGCCATCTAGGCTTAGAAAACCCCCCAATATCCTCCTTGTGCCCACGCCATATAGCCGCTCATATCTCCAATAGGTAGCCTGAAGCGCTACCATAATACCCATTCCAACCTCTGAAATACACACGAGATCGTGTCGGGAACCTAGATGAAATGGAGGGCCTGTACGTCCACAACACTCTGTGTCTCTATTTCCAACAGGCAGTCTCTGGACTGGTGAGTGTCCGTTTACTCGACACATCTTTTCGCCCTATTGCACGAGGCTTGGGTATGCCCCTATTGACTGCAGTTAAAGCACTGCTTGACTTGTACCCGGGGTAACCAGAACTGGGCCGTGTATAGCATTGAGTTGAGTACAATTCCGTTTCGAAGCACTTCGCGTTTAAGGGCCTCTGTCGGCAGGCTCGCGATCACCGACCCGTGAGCATGGCCATTCTTGTTCCTCCATTGGTGCCCCTTCCCGTCGTAGAGACATCTTAACCTATTGATTTGAATTCCAGGAATTCGAACATTTGTCTCTGTTTTATTTGATATATCATTCTGCCGTTGTCGGCATTTTTTCCTCCTTGTATCATTGTCCCCGGTGGGATTCCTAAAATTTCAACAGGATAATCCTGCTTCAAGACGCAGAATTCCTTTGGCTGAGCCATATTTACGGCAGTGTCTTGCTGGGAGACTGACTGCACGAAAACCTTAATTTCATTACTCCGCAACTTCCTTACGGCGTATGCTCCCTCGATATATATTTTTGCCTTGTGAAGTAGCTCTACCGGCTACGTTTCGTCTGTCCCTTGTACTTTTATTCTTACTGCCGCTTTAGTTGCGGGAGGTGCAACGACCGAGGCGTAAGTTGGTCGCCCTCCCATTGCCTGTGTCGACTGAGAACTCATCCTGCGCACTAGCTCCTCGAAGCTCTTCGTTACTGCCTTCTCTATGGCCCGCACCAATTCTTCCATTGGTGTCACTTTCTTGTCGATTTTAGTGACAGTGCATGCGACTTGAGGGCGTCAATAGCCCCTTCTACCTCCGCTATCGGTGCCGCTTTTGGGTTAGTACCTTCTATCACCAGTCTGTCGTGAATCTCGTTTAAGTAGAAACTAATCGTTTCAGGTTACACATGTTAATATCTGTAGATGTCGCGGGAGAATCTGGAGCCGTAATTCCGGCTGTTCCGCTGTCCGTTGGTGGTTTAGGTGGTGCAGTGAAAAATTCCGGCCGTGAAAGCCACATTTCTAGTTCTCCAATCCGCTATGTCGAAAGGCAA